CGGAGATCTTGCCTTTTTCAGATCATCGCATTGACGAAAGTAACGCAAATGAAATATATTTCCGTGCTAGTACAGAAGACGGACAGTTGCATCGGATGAACTGCGTTTGGGAACATCGTCATGGGAATGAGAAGGAAAAAATCATGGGTGAAAGATGTCGCTCATTTCTCTTATCAAGTAGTGAGAATTGTGCACCATCGAATGGCACTCACTGGTAGCAAGCAACCGTTCGGACGATCTCTAACAAGATTTGTACTGATGTAACCAGGACACCATATGATTATTTACGGGGGGAAAACAGGCCAATGAAGGGCAGCCCAAGATCACTGCTTCAGGTGCATGCCTAACAACAACGACAGCACAAAATACTGACAGAATCAACAAGACACCTTTCGTTTTGGAGGCTGATAAAAGATTTAATCATAAAATTTGTGCCTAGAAAGATGGTTAGAAAACCTAGTAAGCATAATAAAAATACTACCTTTAAAGACGACAGTTGGAGAAATTCGTCACACATTTCATCCGTTAGAGCAAAACGAGTCATTTCAGCAGAAAACATCTGACACAGAAGCTTGTCAGAATGACCATGCCTAAAACAGAACGAGTGTGAATGCTGCATTCTTTCGATCAACGAGTGCGAAATATTTCGGCAAAACTTCTCCAGTTAAAAGTACGATTGAAAAGAGATGTGTGCCATGATCGATGCTCAAACTTGCCTACAGATATGTTTGGACGTGTCCATGTAACTTCGGATTACGCAACGAAGCAAACTCAACAGTTCGTAACGAATCGGGCGCAAACACACTTCTGCATTCATGTCATATCTCCTCTGAAGCCTGAATTGTTGATTCATTTCAATGAACGCTTTGGCGAGCAAACGAATTATTTGTAGTGTATAATTTGTGTATCTCAAAAATCAGGCAAAATCTTAAAAATTCCAGTGAAATAATCCAAAGAAAAACGAACAGATGGATGAAGTAATAAACGCTGCAGTGGAAATTTAAGAAATGAAATTACCCAAAGAAGGCAATTTCCCGGGATCTGACCGCTGCAACAATACAGTGAAAAGCTGCGTCGAAGCTACACGACGCGCTAACATACAAAGATACAAGTGAGTAGCACAAGTAATCCCTAACATTCAAGATAGCAATAAGAAATGCTGGAGATATTAAGAGCACCAGGAACTGATATGAGATACCGAAAACGCCACCGGCTGCTGTAGTTACCACTGACAGAAGTACAATAAACTGAAAAAAAAGTAATTTTCAGTTAAATAAATAACTATTTTTACGCTGCAACACAAAGACCAGCAGTAGCGTGGCAAATTGCAGAATGTGATTGTCACTGAAACTAGAGGACCAAATGCCAGCAATTACCAAACTTCGAGTGGGATCGGCTCAGCCGGAGCCATACATGATTTGTGAAAAATTTTTTTAGCCGGTGGCGGGTGGCCTAACTTCACCTTGCTGCGAAGGACTTCCGATGTCGCAGGTGAGGTGAGGGATGGTGCATGCAAATTTCGCGCGCGGACATTCGAGGCAGAGTAGGGGGTTGAGCGGATGGATTGAATGATTGCGTGGCGTAGATACTTTGTCGGCTGGTTAGACCATGTACATTTCGAAGGGACAGAGGCGAGGGAGGGGGGGAGAGAGAGGATGAAGAAGGGGGCAGGAACAGGAGAGCGGTGGGTGGAAAGGAGGAAGAAGTGTGGTCACAGTTTTTGCCGCAAATACGTGAGGGTAATGGAAGAGCTGGAATACTTATTGCTCCCACAGTGATCTTACAGGGGGGATGAAGAGCAGCTCAGATGTTGCTATGGAGGCAAGATTTGGGGACTGCGTAAAGAAGGTGAACGAAGATACAAGCCAGTAGCTCGAGGCAAGAAAGGGAGACAACAGTGAAAAGAAAGAGAAAACAAAGTAGTACAAAAAAAGTAAATCAAAGAAAACCTGGGTGTCATATAAAAGCAAAATCAAAAAAAAAAAATTGGCCAACGCACGGGCTGCCCGTGCGAAGATGCGTTTTTTGCAGAGTTC